TTGAGGCTTTCTGACTCCAACAAACCCATAAAATGCTCTGGCATCCCTCTAACATTTTTTAAAGCCTCAGTCAGTGATTTGTTGGATTCCAGGCATTACTCAGTGGGTGCCAAATTAATTTTTAAATGAAGGTCTCACTGTGTATGTACTTTAAAACATACTTCCCTTAAAGCAATAGTACGTGGTTGTATAAAAAGTAGTGCACTCATGGGGTATATTAGCCATGGCAGTAGGCTACAGTGTGCTGAAGGCAGATGTATTCGCAATGAGGCCAAACTGATTTATGAGCTGTGTTTTTTTTAAAAATATATCCTTACAGCTTGTTTTTGGTCCATACCATCGTTGTTGGAATCCATTCTCTTCATGTACATTCATCCCACTAGACATCATTATCTTATTTTGCAGACACCTGGAAATTTTATTTTCCCTGTCTTATCTATTTAAAGCAAAGTAATTGGAAGAGATTGGATGCAGTAGATATTTTGGGGCCTGGCAGACTAATGTGTTTGGTACCATGACCATAAACAGGGGTGGAGGCACTCTTTATTACTGGTCCATGCCAGCCTTATAAACTCTTAAAGGCCAGTGTTTCGGTGCCAGAGGCTCGCCTCCCTGAACCATTCCTCCATCAAGCCAGTCTCACTGCCACAACTTCTCGTTTAGGTGAGAATAAGGGTCACTATGCACTTTGCAAAGCTTGCTTTCTGTACTGCTTTGCTCTGAAAAGCTGTGTGGCCATTGCTTATGCTGATGGATTATTTGGGGATACAAAAGAACGATGAGACAAGAAGTTTTATTCAGATCAGGGCCTGCTAATGTTGTTGTTTTTCTGGGTTTCTATATTGTTTTCTCGATCTAATAATTCTGGATATATTTTTTTGTGGAACAACAACAAAATCTTTAGGATTGCCCATCTGTCAAAAAAAAAAAGAAAAACTGAGCACACCTCTAATCAGATTCTGTTTGAATGTGGTAAATTTTTAAAATGTGGTGTTATCAGTGTTACATGAACAAAATGTGTCAATTCATTAGCTTAGATTTGTACAGTTGCATAGTAATAAGAATTATAAATAGAATTGTTTTGTCATTAATTGATTACAGTCTTGCTTAATCTTATCAGTATATGCTGAATATCTTGCTGGGTGAAAATGGGCTTGAATGACTCTCTAACATTATTTTGTGATGCATATTTGCGCAGACTTGCTAATGTGTCAGCATATGAACTCTCAGCTGTTTTTGGATGTTCTGTTCAATTTGCCTGTAACTCTGTGGATACCATACAAGTATTTAGTCTATATGAAAGGCACAGAAAATGTTCCTTGAATATGACTTGTAGGACAGTAACATTAGCCTGCTGGTAATAGTGATAGAGGTGGAGGTAGGGTGGGGGTGTCATACTTTCACTGTTGTAGCCATTTCCAGAGATTGTTCCAGAAGCTGAGGGGGGATATTAGATGTCAGAAGGTGAAATGCATACTTATTTCCCTGGCTTGGGTGTGTGTGTGTGGTGGTGGTGGTGGTGGTGGTGGGGGCCAGGGGGGCGAACGGAAGACTTGGAAGACTTGTAGCAGCTGATTTAAGATTGCTGCTTCTCATTCCTTTAAAGAAGACACGGATGTCTGAAGTAATGAATATGACTACTGCTTGTGTGAGATCTACCACTAGATTTTAGTGAACAAAAGAGATCACTTACAGCAATCAGTGACTATCAGGAATAACCTCATATTCTTTCACTGTGAACAAAATCTAATTCTTTTCAGTTTGTCAGTACAGTGACCACTATACCAAAAAAAAACAACAAACTAACTAAAATAAACAAGTAAAATAACAGGTCACTTGAAATATTAATAAAGTGAAATTCCTTTTTTTCTTGTTATATACAGGGGGTGAATAAAAAGAAACCACCAAGATGTCTGAGTATGTATAATGTTTTTCTTTATTACATTTTCTGATTCATAATCTGTTTTCAAACTTACATTGTTTTTTAATCTGTGGATTATTTTTTCTATGTTACTGTACAAGTGTAAAACTTATACTGTCAGTTAGCTCAGTAACTGTGAGCTACTCAGCTCCTGTGTAACCAAAGACAAATTCCTTAAATGTGCAAACATACTTGATTAGTAAAGCCTGTTTCTGATTTTGATTTATATAGAAAAAAGATGACCTCAAGCCGGAAGCATCATCTCAAGGTAATCATCTCAAATATAAGATTTTTTTTTTGTTTTGTTTTGAGCTTGTGAGCTATTTAGATGCTTATAAGAACAGTACTCCAGGTTCCAGAATTCTCCTTAATGCCCTCTTCCCAAGGCATGTATTTGTTCATTTCCATGCCCATATCCTACATTTTTCTTGCAATCTGTTTTTTCCACACATGTTTTGTGAAGGCTTATGTACCACAAACTGTCCTAATTCATTTTTACATGACCATTTTCCAACTTCTCTTTATATCTTAGAAATAAACGGGCCATTTTTGTTACTGTACCTCTCTTCTGATTGGCTGCCCTGTATTTTGCCTTATTCAAAAATCAGTCCAGGCTGAAAGACATCTTATAACTTCATTGTGAATGGGCGCATCTAAATTGTCGTTAGGCCGAATAGGTCGATATGTGTAAATAATTTGGTTTTGCATGACGTCACAAAAACAGTGAATTCAAAATTTAGTTAATACATTTTGAAACTTCAGCGCTGCATCAAGCTCTTTTATTCCAAACAAGCAGGGAAACATTGTTTTTCCATAATGTGGGCCTATTAACTTAACAAAGTATTGCTTAGCCAAAGTCAGTATTGGATGATAGCTAAAAATAATAATTTAATTTTAATTTATTTATTGTGCTATCAGTGTCTTTCTGAGTAAATAAATTCTTTTTGCCCAAATAAATAGATCTTTCAATTTTCATTGTCTCACATGCCTAAAACCAGATGTCTGAGTAAATTGTCATTGTGAGTTGAGTTAGAGTGTGTTTTCTTTCTCACAGAGTTTGATGCTGGGCATAGCTAAGAGTTTGCTTGAGAAGGAGACTGCTCAGGTTGCAGCTGACAAGGCTGCCCACTTGGAACAGCACTGCCCTGCCCTGTCCCTGCCTGGCTCAGTGCAGGAACTGCAGGTATGCCACACTCTCATACGCTTTTTCACATCTTCTGTAAATCCTGTTTATCAGAGTTTAGTCTAAGTAATTAGAGTACAGTGTGGAGAACTATTAGTGTGTTGAAGTCATCATTGAAATCATCGGTTGAAATCATACAGTGTTACAGTGGAGTGCAACACTTAGACTATGATAAAGAACCATATATTCTCATTTACATTTTCACAATTTAATAACTGATTAATTAAACTTTTCTGTAGGAATTGTGCAAGAAACTGCATCAAACCATTGACAAGGCTGATGAGGAGAGATACGACACGCAGGCCAAAGTACATAAGGCAGACAAAGAGGTAATTTGATTGTGTATATGTGTTTATGTAGGTATGTCTGGCTCCCGAACCTTGTTTGAGCCCATCTTTGTTTGTGTGTCTGCAGATTGAGGATCTGAAGATTAAAGTTCAGGACCTGAAGGGCAAGTTTAAGAAGCCCACTCTGAGGAAAGTGCGTATGTCTGCTGATCAAATGCTTCAAGCTCTGCTGGGCTCCAAGCACAAGGTGTCTCTGGATCTGAGAGCCAACCTGAAACAAGTGAAGAAGGAGGTCAAAGAGGAGGTGGGTCTTGTGTACACTGCATAATGGATAACATGTAAACTGTACAAAGCTGGGAACAGAAATGTTGCATTTTCCAAGTCCATTTTGTGAGCGCTGTAATAACTGTGGAAGACAGACAGAAAGACAGCAAAATGTTGATAATTCAAACTCAATGCAAAGCATTTTCAATGTATTGCAGAACTTTTATTATCACATATCATTAACATATCTCATCTGTATGACCTCATATGACATACAGTTTTTGACCCAACCACATGCCGTTGTCTGTTTCCCTTTAGGCTACTGATGTTGGTGACTGGCGTAAGAACATTGAGGACAGAACAGACAGAAAGAAGATGTTTGAGACTGAAGGTTGAGATGGATGCCGATTGGACAGGGCCGGCACGATGGCAGAGAAGAAGATGTTCGAGGGCGAGGCCTAAATCTCTGGACATTTCCTTGTTTATTACTTACTCTGATCCTGCTGCAGGGCTGTGTAGTGTCTCTCCTTTTGCAATAATTGCATTGTTTATGCCGGTGCCAATGCCTAATAGCTGCATTTGTTTCATTCAGTATATATTATTGCAGAGTCACTGCCATTAAATGAATACTTTTGATGAAATCTGTTATGATGTTTGTTTTGTTTTGTTTACATTTCTTTCATTTGGTTGCACTTCTGGGCTACAAGACTCATGTAAAGTTTATTATGGAACAGTCTGAACATTTATTAACTCTCTCATGCCCTCTGGAGGTCATAGCTTACTGATCCATCCTAGACATTCCTTGCTTCTTTCCACTTCGATCTTCTTTATCTTCGCTCCTTTTCTTTACTCCTGGCTCTCTTTAAACCTCCTCTTTCATCATGCATGTGTGAATCCTGCTTTGCTTTACAATGACACCAACATTCTTTAAATCATGTTCGAGAAGTATTTTAGACTTATAATGGTGGCCACTGGCTTTGACACACAAAAGGGTAAGCCAATTTCAATTATTATATAATTATTTTTTTTTTTTACTTGAACATGAAAATTGGTTCCTTAAAATTATTTTTTTATTGGCACTTTTCATTCACGCAGAAGCAAAAACAACATATTTCAAGATGACTTTCCCTTTTCTCTTATTGTTTTACTGCATCCTAGTATATTGAGCTTTGACTCTTTTGACAGTGCTGCTTAAGGAGGACACCAGCACCTCCTCAAGGAAAGGAAATTTACGAGGAGTGTCGAGGTTGGGCTGGGAGTATTTCAGGAGCTCGCTGGCCTATTGGTCTGGGGAGGAATCCACTTCCATAAACAGGACTACTGGGTTGTGCTGAGCCATCAGAGGGACCCATATATATCCTATTTAATTTTCCTCTCACTGGGGCTTGCCAGTCTTCCCTGTCCTTTTGCCAAGGGTGTTCTGCCCTCGTTCTCGTGTATAGGTGAGCATCTCTCTTGTAGAATTTATTAGATAAAGATAAGAACACTTAGAAAGCATTTATTACACCATTGCTGCAAGTATTTGCAAGTATTTGAGATTTAAGGAGCAGTGCACAGGTATGTAAAAATAAATTATATTAATAAAACATTATTGCACCTATGGTAAGTGTCTTTCCTATTGCTTATAGCATTGCATGGGGTACACCAGTACCATTCTAAAAGAGTCACTGGGAAATTTGAATTACTGCCCAGTACTGTCTGATTTGCTGCTTCATTAATTGCCATGCAGTATGGCAATTAAGTTGTTAAGACATACAAGTAATTTATATTTCTTGGCATTGATCATGTCTCAATTCTGAGCCTTCTAAGAGTTTTGGGCATTAGTATACAGACAGTCTTGGTTGTTGTGCATTCACAGTTCTGACTGAATGGAGTTAGTTGATTGCACATTTAAGAAACTGTTCTACAGCTTGCAAGTCTTTTTCAATGGCAGATCTAAGATATTTATTTATCACCATTATTTTTACTGCAATGCTTGACATCTATGTTGACAGTAGTAAGCACTATCAACAGTAGTCCTTAAATGAAACTGACCTATGATCTTTGTAGTGGCTTCTCTGTTTATGGTGAATATGTTTTGATGTAATAGTCTCTTCAGTAGTTATAAAAAATAATGTTTTAATAGCCCTAACCACCTCCTTAGAATTGCTCTTTAACTCAAGAAATCTCAAGAAATGAAATCTTGAACTAAAGATTTGTTTAGTTTTGTTGTTGTTTTTATTGTTCTTAACATGTATTTTATTTTTCAATAATAATTCACCATTTTACTGAAAATATATATTTTTTTTATTGCAGAGCAACCTTTGCTTTCTACAGATCAGCGTACGCTCATGATCAGTTCTGAGCGTCTTTAAATTTCTAGTTTTGATGGACTGTTTTGTATAATCTATTATGAATGGTTTCAGAAGTTTTTGACCTTTGAGAAGGCTACTTCTTGCAAAAGATGATATCTGACACTGCCTGGCTAAATTTGGCTTTCTCAGACATATGTTAGGGGCATGTGCAGTACGAGCTTATGGTGGGGGACAGTGGGGATTTATATAGAAAGACCCTTAAAAATAGTAAAGGTTTGAAAAATAGACCTCTGTGTCGCATTATGTGTGAAGTCAAGACTGTATAGGAACGAAGCTAATATTTCCTTTTTCCTTTTCGGTTTACAGGGTGTGGACACAATAAACCGCCAAGATGTCGGAGTAAGTGCTCTAACTTTGCTTCGGTTTGCAATTAATCTGTTATTATTTTCAGTTGAGTTAATCAGTTGAATGATCCATTTTTCACATATAATGTGTCAATTGATTAACTACTTCAGTGCAAGTGATATTACGTATTCCTTCACCAACAGGAAAAAGATGACATCCTCCCGCCGGTACAACTTGAAGGTAAAAGACCGAAATGGAACAAATTAAAAATGCATGAATGAAATATTTTAAGAATCAAAAGAGAAAGTAAAGTAGTGAAAGTGGAGCATAACCAAATACACTTTCCACAAGTGTATGCCTGCTCATCTCTCTCTTTCTCTCTTCTTCAGAGCTTGCTGCTCTCCATTGCTGCTGGATTGCTGGAGGCTGAAGCCAAGCAGCTTGTGGCTGATAAGGAGGCTTACATGAATGAGCACTGCCCAGACCTGGATCTCCCTGGATCCACACAGGAACTGCAGGTATGAACCCAACAAAGCTCAGCCCAGGATTAACAAAAGTTAGTTATGGATCCAGATCGGTTTAAGAACAATTAGTCCATCTCCAGCCTAACCCATAGGCCCACTAATAGCATAACGTAGTTCAATCTAGGATAAACACATAATCCAGAGCTGTTCTGAGAATTTAGCCTGTACTTTAAGGTGCCAAGACATCAACGCAGGCTCTTTTTTTACTTTTCCTTTACAGCTGACATCAAAGCTGGTTGATGACAAAAAGATACAGCTATATCAGACTTTTAAAGTCTGTACAAAAAAAGAGTGGAAGCACAGAGCATGCAGACATCCCTGAATACTATAGAGATGAGCACTGACTTTTTAGACCTCTGGACTAAAACATAGTGCTGCATTTGTATTTGTCTAGAAACTTAAAAACGGTTCTTTGAGTGAGTCTTTACATTGTCTAGTATTTCTAGTAGCTTGTTTTGCATGGAACATGTATAATGTTGTGTTATCGTACTATATATGCTCTAAGGATATAAAACTATATCTGGTCTTCTGTTAGGAGTACCTGAAGAAGCTCCAACAGAACATCGACAAGATTGATGAGGAAAGGTATGACTTGGAGGCCAAGGTTCTTAAAACAAACAAGGAGGTAAAGACCATAACTCACAAGGTACATTATCTAATTACATCATCTTACATCAGCTATGGTTTCTGACTTGACATTTCCTTACAGATCGATGACCTGAGGATTAAAGTTCAGGACCTGAAGGGCAAGTTCAAGAAGCCTGTGTTGAGGAAAGTGCGTATGTCTGCTGATCAGATGCTTCAGGCTCTGCTGGGCTCCAAGCACAAGGTGTCTCTGGATCTGAGAGCTAACCTGAAACAAGTGAAGAAGGAGGTCAAAGAGGAGGTGTGTATGAAGTCAAGCTTCAAGGCAGCATGTATTGATCACATGTGGTCATTTCATCTTTGGACGTTAAATTATCTGTTACTTTTGACAACATTAACAATTTTCCATTTGTGTCACATGGTTTATTTTCCACAGACTGCAGATGTTGGTGACTGGCGTAAGAACATTGAGGACAGGACAGACAGAAAGAAGATGTTTGAGGCTGAGGCTTAAGATGGATGACAATTGTGTTCTGATAGGTCTTAATTTTTCTCTGGCAGTAGTTCTGTAACCTAGCCCCCCACTCTCATTCCAATAAAGGTGGTTTTCTGGGATATTTTTCACACTTTAATGTCATGGCATATTGTATACAAAGCACATGATTTTTTTTGCCCATGGAAATAAAAAAATGAAATATTCAAACAAACACCTTTCAGATAAAAGCATTTGACTAGATTAGACCAAAATAGAAGACGTGTAGAATATTTTAGAAATGCTGTATGCTACAAGGCTCATGTGAGATGACTAAATACAGCTTAAAGTTTCTACAGGACAAAATGGTGCAGACATAACATCATGATTATTTATTAAATTGGTTGAATTAGCTGAATGTGGCTGAATTTTAATGCAGTATATATTTAGTTCACTTAAAGTCAGTTTACAGAAAATGTACATCATAGACTGAGCTTTAACATAATTTTTGCAATGCTTCTAAACATTATATAGTCTGCATTTGAGAAGATGAAGATATCCCTTCTTTGAAATTCACATCTTCTATACACACACACACACACACACACACACACACACACACACGCACGCACGCACGCACACACGCACACACACACACACACACATGTGGTATGTCCCCTCTTTTGCTTTACTCCAGTTTAAGCAAAAGCCTGTCATGAGTAGATCAAATCCACTTAAGATTTCACCTTTTATATTTTATATTTCATTGTTTTCCAATGTTATTATATAGAAAAGGGTAAAAGAAGGCTAACAAAATATGCAGAGAAACAGACTACAGGCTGTAATTGTAGAACTACAAAGTGCACCTACAGTAGGAGAAGCTAAAAATGTAGACAATGAGTGTATAAACAAGGAAGTGTTACAAATAAAGTGCAGTTTATTAGTATATAAGACTCCTGACAAAAGTGAGTGTTTATTTGCTCATAATAATTAGAATAAATACAAATACAATATATAGCAATTTTATGTGTGCCAATGTGCCAAAGTTTTTAATATTTGCCAAACCTCTCCTCAACGAAGCCCAGTAGTATTTATAGCTACTATCCAACACCTGGTTTGGCTAATCAGAGCTTGATTATGTTATTTCAAGTGTGCTGGTGATAGAATGTGACAAATCTCTGTGATGGCTGGGGCATCCAGCAGAAATCTGGAACCAAACTTGGCTCTTTAAACTATCTCATATCAACTATTTTTATCAATATAGATAGAGGAAATTCTTGTTGATAGAAGAAATTCTTGTTGTCCTTAACTGTTTTTTTTGCTTATTTGCATCTATTCTGGTGACAGTGTTTTTTGTTGTTTTACTGACAAAAACACACTTATTGCCAAGGTAAGTGCTTTTAAACAAACACGTTTGTACAGTACTAAATCGCTGCTGTCAGAACAAAACCTCATTTCTCCAAAATGGTAACTTTACAGGAGAAGGAAAAAACACCTTACCTTCAATGTAACCAGACTTTTTATGTCAAATACTGAATTATGTCAAAAACTGAAAAATGACAAAAATGGAAATACAAGGTTTTGTTCCGACAGCAGCGATATGTACTCAGAAATATTGCTAACACAATTTCAGTAAATCCCAGCATTATTTATATTTCAGTAAAATTTCAGTAAAATAGGACAAAAATTTTGAAAAGTGGTCAAAGAACAACAATTAATGATCTGTCAAATGATGTATAAAGTTTTTAAATGCGCTGCTGTCGTTGCAGTCAGTCTACCCTACACTAAACTAGAATGGCTTGAATTCATTTCAAGTAGGGATATCTTGTATTCTCCTCTTCTCTCAGGAGTTCTAGAAAACTCCATATTTGTAAAAATATCTAACACTCAAGTACAAACTGCAGTTCATCAGTTACATAGTCTCACAAGCCAGACTTACCTCTGTGGAGAGTCTGAGGCTGAGACTGTTGGTTACATAACAAAAATAACAACAACATGATGTCATGGTCTGTAGGGCAATGACATTTTATACATCTACAGAACTTCCTGTCCTTGCTCTTTACCATAAGTAGCCTACATCTTTAAAATCCTTGGAATCTTTCTGGGTTTTTCAGCTTATCCTTCTAGAGAAGCTGTTTTTGGTGACACGTAGGGCTTAGCCTCATTTTGCAGGCACTCAGAGAAACAGAGCCCTAGCTATGGAATCAGTCCTTCTATTTCAAGAAAAGAAACATGTTTCAAAGACAAGCCAGACATACAATTCTGGTTAATCAAATAATGACAGTTTTCTGTCAAGGTGAAATTTAGTGCCATTTTCCTTGACATAAGTGAATACAGCTAATTAGTGTTTAGTTCTCTGTAATTCTACTATAAAGAACTTACTAATCATTTAAGAAATATTCTTGAAAAAGGAAACTAAACCTGAATGTGAAGGGGTTTATAAACATTAATCTTGCAGGCCCATTTTCATCCTATCTCAGCCTGAATACATATAATTTGATGATGCAACTACACATTAAAGTTGAATCAATAAGCAATGCAGCTATCAAAGGAGAGCAAACGTACCTGTCGCTTCTGACTATGTGAATTTCTTCATGTAACATGCATATGCAATCTATTTACAATGTTTTAATGATATATTCATTAATGGTTATACGAATCTGTGCCTTTTGACTGTCTATTCAGAACTGATTTATCATAAAGAAAGTGTGTCTTTGCTGCTAGGGCTAATCTTCTGGATTTATCATTTCATAGTGACAGAAATGAAGCAAAAAAATCGTGATGATGTCATACTTTGTCTACTTCCTGAAAAAAGTAGAACATATATTCTGCTTTTAAATTCAACATGAACAATACTTCTTAGTTCAGCCTGAATCAAATTTTCTGACACCAGACCATGCATCTTGTTGGATTAGAAGCTATTTAAACTATTTAAAAGTCAGTTTAACTATTGTTCTCTCTTTCAGAGTGCAGAATATTTAAAAGACCTCATTTACACAGATTCTGCTCATAATCATTTCCTCCACTGTACTGAAAATGGTGATTCTCTGTCCTTCCCAAATGAGCTGTTTGAACCTGGTGCCAGAAACACCCAGTCCTTTCACTGCGGAAAGTAAAAACCATTCCAGACACACTTTCTCAGACCCCATCATGGCAGTCAGTCTCCCTCGATTGGACTCAGACACCTGGCGCCTCCATGTATGGTGAGGGTTGCCTGGAGTTAATGGCCACTGCTGTGCCCACTTGTTCAGAGTCTGTCGCTCTTAGGTTTCCTCTCGAAGCTCAAATGTAGGACCAAGATGAGTTGACCTGCTAAGTATATCTCCTGACCCTGTAGCACTGAATGCAAGAGGATACCAAGCTATGTTGGGAGCACAAGACTTGCACTGAGACTCACCAAACCTTAAAACAAGGTTATAGATGAGGTGCCATTTTAGAAATGTGAAGGAACTGTGGTGTCCACTTTGTAGGAGTGAATTTGTTTGAGTGTGAATTTTCAACTATTCATCTACATTTAGTATGATGACACAAAAACAGAACTTCTTCTGATTGGTCTAAAGCGATTAAACTGTTATATCTTGGATGATCATCTAATAGTACCCATTTGATTGTTTTGATTACATGTAATTTTGACTTTTATTCATAATAATATTTGATTTTTTAAATTTTTTGTTTAGTATGAACAATTAAACAATCTAACAAGACATTTGAAAGGAATACCAGCTGATGTATGACACACTTTGTCAAAAATACATTTATATTTCTCTTACAAAGGTGTTATTAATCACAATATAGCATTGATATTTCTTGTATGTCCAAAGCCCACTTTCAACAATGTATACCACAAAAAAATCTTTGGCTTTTGATACACTTTGGAATAAAATCCTTTATATAATTATTAATTTGAATAAATAATATATATATTATTAGTATTGGTAGTAGAAATATTAGTATTATAATTGGTAGTAGGATTAGTATTATTTACATATATACTCTTTATCACTAAAAAGTAAAATCTATGTATATCTATTTTTTTTCACCAGGTGCCATATTTGAGGAATGATGTAACTGAAAAATCTCAAGGAATAAAAGAGTTATAATAAATCAGCTCTTGTGGCCAGGCAGGCCTGCTAATGCCTAACACATTATTATACCAATGATGTCATGACCCTCTGCAGAATCTGGCTTCTTTCAGCCTGAATGTGTGAGAAAATAAACGTTAGCAAAACAAAACATCTGCTCCCACTCGTTACAGACGTGCACACACGTACATGCGCAGCAGCAGTTATGAGGTGCTGTTACACTGAATCATTATGTTAAAGTCTTCAACACATTAAACACACTGAAGTTCACAAAGGATTCAGGCATAGCCTGAATAACATGGGAGACATTTTTATAAAGGAAAGAAACAGTAGTGCAATGTAAGCTGTGTTCATAGCTGGCTGTAATGGCTGTGCTGGCTCAGGGTGTTGAATGGATGGCCTCTCTGGGCTAATAAATTCCCCGCTGATTCACTGAGCAGGTCAGTTCTACCACCATCTGGTCAAACGTAGCACAGAGAGAATGTTTCATGTGACTCAGTATGTCATCTTTACACCGTCTCAGTGTTGTAACAGTGCTGTAGCTTGTACAGTCAAAAGAGTCATTCTATACATCTGTTATGACAAACCACTTGAACTTGCCAGATACTCACTGTTAGATGTGAACTTATGAAACAGAAACAAAAAACAAAACTGTCCTGCAGAGTTTTGCACATTTTGGAGCTTAAACACATCCACAAATTGTCATGGTTAGCTTATGAGTTGTATTTGAGCAGGAAAATCCCCAAATTGACCTGGACTTCAGCTGTCCAGAACTGAAACTGATGACCCCTGTTTTATATGAACTACATTTACAGTACTGTCTAAAAAGCCACAGACCATCTTTCAGTTATTTAACTTGCACTCAAAGCGGCCATTGTGTACACATTATTAAAAAAAAAACATATATTTACAGAAAATGACACAAAAACCTCAACAACTAAATATATTGTCAAATTGTTCAGTATCCACCCTTTAACCTTTATTACAGCTTCCATTCTTTTCAGCAGACTTGCTTTTAGATTTTCAAAGGAATCTGCAGGGATATTTTTCCACATTTCCAAAGTTCAGTCTT